TTGAGTGAGACTAGTCCAAACTGAGTTGTTTTTTACAACCTATGCTCGTCCTACGCAGTTTATCTCTTCAGAAGCTCGAATGACTGCTTAATAATGAACTGTGACTTTAAAAATGATCAAAATAAAACCAATAAGAGCAATGAGAAAGCTTTGAAGAGAGAAAAGTCTGGGAACCTGTCGAGTTCAGCGGGCTGAGAATTCACTCCGTCTGCTTTGCCGATGGTGAAGGGAGGAGGATAAATTGCCGAGATCAGTGGATGCTCCTTATCGTTACTGTAACGCCCAAATGCACGAAATAATCCAATGATAAAGCAAAGAACACGCATGAGATACACTAAAAAGCATCAGATTTGAATTATAAAAGCAATGGTAACGATGAACACTCTACTCCTCGTGAAGTTAAATGGCACTTGAAGGCCAAATGGTCGTTTTCGAAATTTCTGCGCCCAAAATTCGATGCGCTCAATCCATAGTACTTAGCATTTCCAGCCAAATCATAAAAAGAATGTCAGTTGCATTTATTAGAAGTTTCTGTTCAAAAAAAAAAAAGAAGCTGTCAGTTGTATCGATGGCAAGAAAATGTGTTATAATGAAACGATCGTTAATCAAACAATCGAAGTGAGACGAGCGCTGTTAATCTGAATATTTGAAGCTAACATTTAGTTTGGAATGTGGGCTGTGCCTCGCCACAAATTTCGATGATGATATCCGCTGTGATGGAAAGCAGTTCGATTTGTGCAGAAACAATTCGATCGCGTACATTCGCGTACTTAGCAGCAAGCTCACTGAGAATCGTATTGAAGCACAGTGCAAACTGCTCTTGCACTGGAATTTCTGCAAAAGCCCCCAGATAAGTGCTAATATTTAAGACGCAGCTGGCGACGAAGCGACAATCGCATCCGCTAGAAGCCCACTGTGTAGTGATTATCAATCGCCTGCCCTTACCAGTATTATATTTTGCATTTAAATTTTTAACTTCTCGTCTCCCCCGGATCGGTGAAGCGCATGGTCATCTAAGAGTAAGAAAGTTAGGTACCAAACGACGGTGTCCATCGGTTTCTAAAAAGCGATTATCAACGTTTGAAGTTGGTTTTACACTAAGTACTGTAAGGAAAGCTACAAAAAACAGAGAGATAAAAGTGCCTTTTGGTGATCAGTGAATGGTAGAAATGCCCTTCGGGTCTATGAAGCAAGGTAACGAC